TTTTCACCTTCTGAATCATTTGCTTCATCAACATCTAAAATAATCAAGCTTTAACTTGTATAAAAATATATGTTTACTTACTATTCGATTTTTGACCTTCTTCTTTTTTTTCCCATACACGTCGACATTCATCACGAGTACCTGCGCCAAAAATAATAAAATATATAATACAATTAAATTTTAATAAGCAATTTATTTTTAAAATGAAGACTGGATAAATATTAATTATTCTTCGCTAGAGAAACTAAAGCTAACCTCGATATTCAATTGTTGCTTCTATTCGACGATCATACACCATTATTTCAGCTGTATCATCATAAATACGCTTTATACTGGAACGATGGACGATCATACATTCACCAGTTTCAATTATTCGACATAAATAACATTCAGGTTCAGGTGCACTTGTTGTTGGTGTATAAACCTTTTTTTGAGTTCGAATTCGATTATTCATTTAATAAATGTTTTATATCTAAAATATTTCATTATTCAATCATGTTCATCATAGGATGACACAGGTGTAACAATATGATAACCTATACAATCAAAAATAATACAATGATCTAGAATTCGACTTACAAGTACAGGTTCATAAACGGAAAGACATTGTTTAGAAACAACATAAAATAGATGATTTATAGGTTTATGTAAAAGTTCATGATATGGTGATGGTAATAATAAATCACTAAATAAACAATGAACTGGATGTTGCTGAATCAGGGCATAAGTGGAACTTTGAACCTGGAAGAACATAATAATTTTACCAAATGAATAAACACCATCATTAGTTAGATGACAATATCTGACGAAATAACTGATACTTTTTTGTCGTTGTTTGTAATGTATTGAATGATATACGTGGTGGTGAATTCTACATCGTCGAAAAGCAGTTAAACAAGTATTAATTGACATACAATTACATTCACGATTGTGTATATCAAGAAAAATATCATTCGATGTAAAATCGAAGTTTACATCTTTATCAAAAGGACCATCAACTATTTTAGTAAATAAATTTATATCATTAATTTCATGACGAAGAACTATATCAAGGCTGTAGTTTTCAGCAATAAGATCACCTTGATAACGAGTACCACTAAAATTTGATCCCATGTATCCTACTAATCCTTCTTGTCCAAATGATCCTAAATGCGAAAATGCTCCAAACATTTTATGTTGGGCTTTAAAGTGTGAATGGACGTGAAGAACGAAATTTTCGAGACCTCGATAGAATGAACGAAAATCTTGATAATATTTCATGAGTAATGCATCAGCAATCTCAGATGTTTTATCACCAAATATTGGACTACTGTGTAATAACCGCATACCGGATATATATAAAGCAAAATGGCTGAGAAGATTCATTGGAAGATGTTGATGAAAGATTGGAAGAAAACCATAAAAAAGTATATTTCGAACTTCAGTAGCTTTAACAAATGAAAGATCTTTGAATGACTTCATACGACGATTGAAGAAGTGTGGAAATGGTTGTTTAGCTAAAGCAATATCAACATCATCACGAATAGCTGGACTTAAACGTCTATAAAGTTCACTAAATATTGATTTTGAATGTCGAAGTAAACTGGCATGGGCGTAATCGACAATGATTGAATAAGGTAATTGAATATCAATTACATTAGCAATAACAGAAACACCTAGATGTCCATTTTCATTTCGTTTAAATTGAGAAGCAATATTGGAATCTCGAGCAAAACTTTCAGCAGTTCGCATTTGAAATGGACATTCATATGGATATTGTCGCTTGCCTTCTTGATGGACACCGTGCAAAAGGCAAAAATAACAACAGTAATAGCCATTGTGAGATATAAAATTTAAAGCTATCTTCAAAGCAGGTGTATCACCAGTAATAGCAAGAACTTTTAATTTTACAATATCATCATTTACAACGATACCTATTTAAACAGAATATATACCTTCATGAAAATCTTGAGAGTTGTGCAAAGTTCAAGTATTCTCTTCAAGTTTTAACTACTAATTAAAGCTTCGTATAACTATTCAAATACAAATTCATGGAACTCTAACTAGAACGAACTTGTGGCGACAATCGCCTTACTAAGATGAGAATTATTTCGAAAAATTTGAACATATTTATACACAAATTCGCAAATAACTACGAGTTTCAAGTTGCGCTATATATTAAAATATGTACTAGAAATGCATATGTTCGACAAATAAAATGAAGAATGAGAAAAGTTCAAGCAGTTTCACGATATAATAATAACAATAGATAAATATGTACGGAAGTATCCTAAAAAATTATGTCACTAACTTATTCATCGTAAATTTTAAGAAAATACTGTTAACTCAAGTAACTCTTAGCAATTTTGAGAGAACAAGCAATAGAACATAATCTAACACACGCAGCTATGATTATTTTAACTGATTTTGTTGAAAGGATAAACGAAATTAAATTCTTGAAACTTACGAAGCACAAGAGCGCCTTATGATTCCCTTTTAGAGTTCTACACCGATCCTTATTAAAAGAAAATTAACGATACCTGTAGTTTTAAGTTCTTCAAGTACAGCAATAGTATTTTGAAGCCATATAGATGCATTTGGTTCTTTCGAACTAATCCACATAGAAACAATTGGCATGTTATATCTTTGATAACGAACTTTGGAAGGTAATTCTACGATCGAAAATGAAAACAGCCACATTTTCAACTTGTTAGACTGACACAGGCTAACACCATCTAAATGCATCAACGCAGTGATAAAATTTTCATTAGAATATTTATGTAATAATTGTTGGTAAGCATAACCAAAACCAATATCATAAGTACCTAATACATCATGATTTATTCGAAGTTGTTTTGTATATTCACGAATTTCTTTATAAAGTTTTTTTAATAATAATGAAAGAATAGATTTAAGATCTGATTGATATATAATAGCAATATTTGTATCATTAGAATTTGGACATGTAGGACAAAAACATATATCACTAGCAATATCTTGTGTACATATAAGGCAAATTCTTTTCTTATTAAATAAATTCTTTTCTATTTGAATCAATGATAAAAGTTTATTCATATTTGATGGTAAATTGTTCGGAATTGGCAATGCATCATGAATTAAATTGAGAAATTTATGATGTTCATTTTTAGAAAGTTTAGAATCACGAAATGTTTGAAGAAGTCTTCGACAAAATATATCAGTAGGTATATCAGTATAAGAATGAAGTTGAGTAGAATAAGTTGAATCATTTTCTTCAAGTATTTTATCTGAATAAACACTTGAATCTAACATAGAAAGTTCGTCGATGTTGTTAATATCAGCAACCGATTGAGTACATTCATCAATATTACCATAAACTATATCATCTTCATCATTTGGAGTATCAGTGTTTATTAATGGAAGAGAAACGTTTTTGTTATTTATTTCAAACGAAGAAGATGATGAAATAGATTGCGAAGAAACTAGTTCAGGATTTCCATCATGTGAACGAGATAGTCGGGCTTTTTTGTTTTTTCTTGATAAATGAAGTTCATAAGTTTGATGGGCTAGTTCAAGAGCATCTTCAATTTCAATATCCATCTAAATACAAAACAAAAATTCAGAATAGAATAAAATAAAATTTTAAAATCCTTTAGTAGTCAATACAAGTCCACTGGAAATCAGTTTTCAAAAACTCCGATATATGTCTTTCTTCTTCATCAAAAGCTATCCAAACACTCCTTTCTAATAAATGATCAGAGACTTTTTCCTCAATATTTTAAGAATAGTAAAAATCCTGTCGGTTTTTTTTTGAGATTCGAAAAATATTAATGAATATCAGAAAAATTTGAAAAAGAGAATTTTACCGAAGTTATCAGAAAGGATAATTATATAATCAATAAAACAGTCAAATAATAATAAGATAATGATAAATACGATAATAATAAATACGATAATATTAAATAAAGTAATGTTAAATAAAACAAAAACAATATTAAACAAAATAATATCAAATAAAATAATATGAAATATCTGGTTCACCAAGTAATTCTATTGTATTATTCAATTCTAAAATGAAAGCATGCCGAAAAAGAAAAAATAGTATACCTGTCATGATGAACTATTCAATACACAGTGAAATTTTGAAAGGTAACAATTTTGAGAGGACTTACAGAAATCTGAAATAAAATGACATAAACTAGCATCTCACTAAGAAAGAGAAATAACATACAGATTTATTGAAAAGATAAGATAATAATCATTTCTCAAAACTGAAAAATAATATAAAAGCAACTGTACACTACAAAACCATTGTTGATACTGACTATTATACAGTTACTTCATCAACGATAAATGGTGTCAATAGATGTCGCATAGTGCAGACATTCTAAATACGATGAACATTTACTTTTCGCAAATCTACTTTAATCTGATAATCTTTAGTTAACATAAGTTTGTTATTGTCTAAGATGTGTTAGAAACGTGTTATGAATATAAATTGATGAAAGTGCACAGAAAATAGTCAATGTCATCTTATCCTGGCGGATCCAATAAATTCCGATAGTCGGATGACGGTGGATCCCATAAGTTCCAGCTGTCGGAAACCGGTGGATCCTGGCATCGGAATCTGGGAGAATCCGACTGTCGGAAAACGCCGGAAGTCAAGGGATTTAATGGGGATTCTGGTAGTCGGCATCCCACCGGATCCGATCGTCGGATGACGTCGGATTGTTCAGGGATCCTTTAGGATCCGG